TAGCAACAAGGATCGCTGCACAGTGTGTAAGGATGAGAAGGTTGATCAAGAGAAGAAGGTATTGGAATCAGTAGTTGAGAAGGGTATGCATAATGGACAGAAGATTACATTCCTTGGAGAAACTGATGAAGCTGTAAGTAAATAATTCATTTTTGGTTTTATTAGATTCTGTTTGATCTCAGAGAAAGTTGACAACCAAGGAAAGAAAAATGGAACTTAGAGTTTTATGTTATTTTTCCTTCAGATTTTTAAACAATGTCAATATGGCGGTTGAAAGATATGAGGTTTCAGTTTTGCGAAATATGTTTTGTCGTCGAGAAATTTGAGGAATACAGCTCAAGGAAAAGATATGTACTAAAAATATATATATTTTTTTCTCAAGTTTCTTAGCCTTCAAATAGAGTTGAGAATTAACTTTTTCAGTAATTAATTATTTGATCCACTTGATTGTAAACTGATTATTACGTAATTTGCAGGAATATGTATACAATAGGCTCCAATTTAGGTATAATTTGCATATAAATACTGTTGTATTTGGTAACATTTTAATGATTTTCTTTAAGTATTTGTTAATTAGTGATATGAAATTTCAAGGATTAGTTTGTAAATTTTGATCAATAGACACATTTTGTTTTCCCAGTTACAGTTGGTACTTCACATTTATTCAAGGATTTGTCTATATTGTTCTCATTTATCTTCAAGGTTTCACCACCAAACAAAAGGTGAGTCCATGGAAGACTTATGTGAACCTCTCTGCAGTCTTGATGGGTTCTCACGGACTTACCAAAGGGTCTTTGGCTTTCTTAACTATCCAACAAAGCTCACGTTCAAATCCACAAGGGAAATATTTAACTCCATTACTTTTTTTTAATTTCATGTTGAAAAAAATAACAATTTTCCTTACTAGACGTTTTGATAACTTCAGTTTTTGTTTGATAGTCAAATTGGATCTCTTAATCTGTAATGGTGTAAATGACTTAAATTAGCTCATCGATTCTTGCGATGTGAATCAAGTAAACGGCATCAATCTGGCTATAATTGGAAATTTATTTTGTCATCTCAGGTTTCGCCTGTAATGGTCATGGTCGTATTCATACCGAGCCTTAGATGAAAATACCCAGTTCATGAATATGTATCTGCAAAACTTTTAGCTACCGGGTTGATTCTTTTTACCTTAGCAAATGCACAAACTTCACCAAATTTTAGTATGATTGTTGTTATAATGGTATTGGGTGCTCTAATCATGGATTCATTTCTTGGTAATTTGCAAGAAGCAATCTTTAACATGAATCCTGAAACCACTAAGGTGACTATCCTGTGCTATGCTTTTCTGTTGTTTCTTAAATTGAAAAATTGTGACTTTGTCTAGATATCTTCTTACTCTATGACTTCTGTTAGTTTCAATCTCAATTGTTCTATTTCATTTATTTATTGTTCAATTGGTGACTGTAAAGAAGAGATTTGCCATTTTTACAGCTATGGAGAACTAGATTTTTCAAATTTCCAACTTCTGTGGTTTTAAATTTCAGAATTAGATTAATTTGAGCTAGAAAGGCCTGATTTTCAGTCCATAGACTCATCAAATTCAGTTCCAAGTCTTGCAAATATCATAGGTTAGGAGTGTTAAAATCACATATAACTTGAATTTGATCTTTAAAGTTACTGGATCATTGGAAGCTAATTATGTGTTTGGTGTGCACATATATTGTTGGAGTGCACTAAATAATTTAAGTTTGAGATTTTGTGAAATTTGGTTGTTGAAAGATGACAATTGCAAATAACTTACTGAAAGAGAAGAAATCCAGGGGGAGCAAACAAAGTTTTATTGTACAACAAATTTTGTTGGGATGGTGTATAAACTTTACAGAAGATTAGTTTTGGTATTACATAACACTGGAGAGAATAGTGTAACAATGTTGTAGTTACTTTGATTGAAATTGCAGTGGATAGTGGGCTTCTTGAGCTTTTGGCATTGAGGGGAGGTGCGTGCATCAAGAATTAGTGTATTGCCATGGCACATTTTCCTTGGTCTCTACACATATGGGTTGGCTATGGTGACTGCAAAAAAGGTCTTTTAGGGAAACTGACATTTTTATAATGGCGGAAAAGTGTATTTAAACAATGTCTAGAATCCATGGTTGTTAATAGTTTAGGATTAGTGTTAGCCTTGCTCAGTGGTATTATAATATTCGCGACTATTTCACCCGAGTACCATGTTCACCAACCTAAACTCAAGTACTCAAATTCCTAGGCTTCTCTTCTTGATGAAAGAAGAGAAAATGATAGATCGAGATAAAAAGATTGAATTGTAGAAGTTAGATTGATTTACATATGTTTTCTATGCTAAAGTAAGAAAGTTGTTCATGTGTTTTTGGATAATTAAGTTGATAGATATATAGCTTAAAATTTTTGGTACTAGTAATTTTACTATAAAGTTAACGATTTTGTGGTGCAATGCAATATGAGAAGACTTGGCTAGGAACTTCAATTTATTATTATTATTTTCAAAAAGAAAAAGATAAAGAAAGAAGGCCAAGAACAAGGAGTTTGTTTTACATGTTAAATGGGTAGAGATACAACTACTAGAACCTGTCCAGTATCTTTACACCAACATTAAATATATATTTAAAATTAGCACAAATTTAATACGCATTATTTTGTATATAATATTTTTATTACTTGTTTCTTTAATTATCAATTCAATATAAAATTAACTTCAATACAAATAATTAATACCAGACAAACAATTAATAATAATGTAAAAAAAAATTCTATAAACATACCCGCGCGCTTTCTATCTAGTTCTTTAATAAATCATAGCCGTCCGTCCCTATCACAATCAGTCCAGCTTTCCCTCTCTTCCACCATTGCTTCAAATAACTACCAAGTACCAACAACAAAAACAGAAGAAAACAGTTGAACATTCTAGTTGTAAAACCAGTCAAGACACAACACAACACAACACAAACTTCCCACTTTGTAATTTTTTTTTTCTAATTTCTTAAAAAAATTCATCACTACTTAGTGTCCTTTCTTCATATACCATTCATTCAATTTTTTTTCCTTCTGTTTGTAAAGTCTCTATGGATCCTCTTCTCAGCCCCAGCACCTTCAGTAATAGCTTAAAGGCACATTTTTCTTTTCTTTTTTGGTTTCTTCTACTGCATTAACATAAACCCACTTGTGTGTGATTTGATCCAGTTGTTTAAGTAAACTCAGTGGCTCTAGTGGTGGATGAAATGTTTAGAATGGACCTCTGAAACATTTGTACTCTAGGTGTAGTTTGTGTTTGTTTTTAAACTTTAGGGGTTTTACTGATTTTTGGATAACTAAAGAGATTTTATTTATTTACCTATCAATGAAACCTTTTGGATACAATTCATATGATTGTGATATAACTAGTTTGCTTCTTTCTACTGCATAAACCCACTTGTGTGTGTTAAACGAGTTATTTAACGAAATTCAATAGCTTTGCATGTAGCTGAATGAAATGTGAAATATCTGTACTTTTTGGTAGGGGTTAGCGGTTTCGGATACCTTGCATTTTTCAGGGGAACCAAAACTAGAATTGCACAGTGCAGGTTCCTTACCCGGGTACCATATAAAAAATCAGTTACAACCCTATTAGTTTAAAAAATGACAAGAATACCTTAAAAGTTTACAAATACACCCCTAACAAATTAAGAAACCTACATTTAGTAGTTTTCAACTTTTGATTATTCATTCATTTGTGTCCAATGTGACTCATAAATCTTCTGGCAACACTAAAATTTAATCAATTCATCACAATTCACATAAAATTTCTCAATCAAAACCAAAACACAAACAAGTTCCAAGCTTGGTACCCGCTTCAGGTTCTTTTCCCAGGTTCCAGTTCTGGTTCTAGTTCCAAAACCTGTGGGAACCAAAACTGAAACTGAAATTGCACAATGTCAGTTCCAATAAAATGGAACCAAAACCTACCCGCATAGTATCGATTCCAGGTAGGTTCCGATTCTGGTTCTACATGTTACCCGTGCTCACCGCTACTTTTTGGGATGGTTTGTGTTAGTTTTCAACTTTTAAGGGTTTTATTGGTTTCTGAGATAATTATGAGGGTTTTTCAATGTGGAGTCTTTTGGATTTCAATCATATGATTTGATGGTGGTTATGGATCGTTAGAATAAACCCCATTAGTTTGAGAAACAAGAGAAATTACTCTTGTGATATGTTTGTAGTTTCAATTTTCTAGTTTCTAGGACGGATTTTGTTATTTTTAAAACTATAGGGATTATATTTAGCTTAAATTATTTAGAGATAATACTTGAATCTTCTCAAACTTTTAGATGAGTTTTCTAAAGATACTAATCTCTCTAACATTTGATCTTTATTGTAACTTATAGACAAATTAAACTGAATCTGGTTTTGTATTTAAGCAATCTAAACTGTGTTGTATCTTCTGATCTTTTCAGTTTCTTCTTAATAATTTTAAGAAATGAGGCAAATTTCTTTCATTTGAATATGTAACGCTCAAATCCTACATATGTCATGTGTCGCTCATTTGTTTTTGCTTCATTTGGTCCATTTGGTCTATGTTACGCAAGGGATGGCTGGTTAGTAGACTTAAATACTAATGTAAGAAGTGACATGCATTATTGTAGTTCAAAATACCATTATGTGAATTTTTTTGACATTTTTAATGTACTTGGATATAATGTTTACTACCTTTGTAATAATATAATGTTTAAGGGTACGTTAATAGTTCATTAAACTTTTTTAACATTACGAAATTCATCCTCAAGTTTAGTTGACTTTGATGGTTCTGATTACTAACACAAACTATTTTATGCAAATACAAAACAACCCTTAAACACCTTCTTCTTCATTTAGAACGGTCTATAGTCCTCTCATAAACCAATTGAAAACACAAAATAATTTTTCTAAACCTTGCATAAACATTACACTCTTCCTATAATACATTTCTAAATTGTACTCATTTTAGCCTAAAACACTTCTTCTCCTCAAGATATATCTTCTAGTCTCTTCACGACAACCGCAATTTCATCAACTAAAACATCCTGCTTAGACACTTCACACCGGAAATAGTATAAACAAATCTTCAGTGAAATTGAGATCAAATCCTTAGAAATCAATTCTTGGAATAGTAATTAGTAATTAGTTCTAGTGTTGCATTTTTCGTTTGATTGATGGACATTCTTGATAAACCTCTTTGACTCATCAATTCCAACAACCCATTAGGTTCCTCCATCTTCCCCGCCTCGCAAAGCCCACTTATCATTGCAGTGAACGCCACCACATCAGGCTGCAAACCTCTTTGATTCATCAATTCAAACAACCCATTAGCTTCCTCCATCTTCCCCACCTTGCAAAGCCCACTTATCATTGTAGTGAACGTCACCACATTGGGCTACAAACCTATTTGACAAATCAATTCCATCAACCCATTAGCTTCCTCCATCTTCATCTCCTTGCAAAGCCCATTTATGATTGCAGTAAACGTCACCACATTAGGCTGCAACCACCCTCTTTGATTCATCAATTCAAACAAACCATTAGCTTCGTCCATCTTCCCCACCTTTCAAGACCCACTTACCATTGTAGTGAACATCACCACATTAGGCTGTAAACCTCTCTGACTCATCAATTCCATTAAGCCATTAGCTTTCTTTATCTTCCCCTCCTTGCAAAGTCCACTTATCATTGTATTAAACGTCACCACAACAGGCTGCAATCCTTTTTGACTCATCAATTCCAGCAAACTATAAGCTTCATCCATCTTCCCCTCCCTACAAAGCCCATTTATCATTGTAGTAAAAGTCACAAAATTAGGCTGCAAACCTTCTTGATTTATCAATTCCAACAACCCATTTGCTTCCTCCGTCTTCCCCTCCTTGCAAAGCCCATTTGTCATTGTAGTAAATGTCACCACATCAGGCTGCAAACCTATTTGACTCATCAATTCCAACAACCCATTAGCTTCCTCTATCTTCCCCTCCTTGCAAAGCCCATTTATCATTGTAGTAAATGTCACCACATCAGGCTTCAAACCTTTTTGACTCATCAATTCCAACAACCCATTAACTTCCTCCGTATTCCCCTCCTTGCAAAGCCCATTTATCATTGAATTAAAAGTCAGCACATCAGGTTGCAACCCACTTTGATTCATCAATTCAAACAACCCATTAGCTTCCTCCATCTTCCCTACTTTGCAAAGCCCACTTATCATTGTAGTGAACGTCATGATGCGTTGTAACTACAACATGCAAATTAGCCAGTGCACTAGTCGCACAAAGTAATAAAGTGATGAGTGAGTATTGTTCCCACGAGGATAGTATTACTAAGTACTGATTTCTCTAGTTTAAGTCCTAATTGAAGAAACAATAAATTGGATTGATGGAAAATTAACAAACTAAATACAAATTAACAAATATAAATGAATGATAATGAAATTAAAGCAAAACCCAACAACTTAACTAATTAAACAATGCTAAAAGAATGCTAGGGTGTTGATTTCACCTAGATACGCTAACCCAATTCATAGAATCTATTACCCAAGTTCTAATTCCTTGATTCAAAATCGAATTCCCTAAGTTGTAAAACATACCTTCTCAGGCTAAATTTCCCTACTTATCCCTATTAATCTTCCGCACCCAACAAAATGAAGATTAATAGTTCAAAGTTTTTTAAGCTTTATGGAATTCTATCTAGATTTCATAGATCGCTAAACCTATCTCTAGCGTTTTCTTAATCTAAGGTATTTAGCCCAAGAGGCACAATCAAAAATCACTTCTCAGTCTCATTGTGAAAAACACACATTTGAATGGTGATCAAGCATCCAAAAGTCATTAAGCAAAGAGATAAACACTTAATCTCAAAGTAAATCAATTCGTATAAATTTGAATCATTGTATCAAGATTACATCAAACCCTAGCTAAAAAACTCAATTCATACTCAAAAACGAAATAAAATAACAAAAATAAACTGAATCAAGATTCATCATTGAAAAACAAGCAAAAGATGGAGAAATCTTCTCTAATTTGAAGCCCAAATATTCAATACACTTCTCCTTCCAAGCTGCCTTCCAAATGACGAACCAAGCCCCTTTTCTCTTCCTTTTCGCTCTAATTTATACCCCTCTCACTTAAGGATGAAGCCCTAGCAAGCCAGAACGCATCATTTTATTTTTACATCTGATGCAGGTTTCGCCACGGCGAAGCTTTTTCCTTGCCACGGCGAGGAACTTTGGGGCCACATTTGAGCATGATAGAGTCTGAATCTTGAAAAGTTAATTGTAGCCCTTCCAATTATATTTCTAATCATTCAAGAATCAGCACAATTAGAGGTCTAAAGCTCAAGTTATGGCAGAAATACTGAAGTACGTCCAAAGACGTTTTTTCTTCAATTCCCAACGTACTTTTCATGACTTCAAGCCAAGTTTTCACCCTTGTCCGGTCAGAATTAGGAAAAACCCAAAACATGAAAGTTGTATCTCTGCTTCTTAGCTTTCCAAAGCTTCTAAATTCAGGTCATTCCGAGTTTTCAAGCTCAAGTTACACAATTTACGCTCAAAACTATCATTTATTCAAAAAATCATCGTTTAGGTCTGCAAAGACAAATTAATAGAATTAGGTAGCAATTATGACCCAAATTGTATGAAAAGTATCCTAAATCCTATCAAAATTCAATGCAAAATCATAGTGTAAAATATGATTATCACGTCACCAGATTAGGCTGCAAACCTCTTTGACTCATCAATTCCATCAAGCCAGTAGCTTCCTCCATCTTCCCCTCCTTGCAAAGCCCACTTATCATTGTATTAAACGTCACCACATCAGGTTGCAAACCTCTTTGACTCATCAATTCCAGCAACCTATAAGCTTCCTCCATCTTCCCCTCCCTGCAAAGCCCACTTATCATTGTATTAAACGTCACAACATTAGGCTGCATACCTCTTTGACTCATTAATTCCAGCAACCTAAAAGCTTCCTCCATCTTCCCCTCCCTGCAAAGCCCATTTATCATTGTATTAAATGTCACCAAATTAGCCTACAAACCTCTTTGAATCATCAATCCCATCAACCCATTAGCTTCCTCTACCTTCCCTATCTAACACAACCCCTTAATCAAAGTCACATACGTAATCACATTAGGCATAACCCCAAACACAGCCATTTTCTTGTACAACCTCGTAGCCTCCGAACTCCTATTCTCCAAACACAATCCTTTAATCAAAGAAGTCAAAAGTCACAACATTTGGGTTAAAACCCCACCACAAAATCCTCCCAAAAACAACAAAACCATCACATACTTTACCCACATTACAAAACAATTAATTAAAATATTCAAAGTAATCAAATCTGGCAACAACCCAACTGAACCCACTCTCTTGTAGAACAAAATAACGTCTTTATAAAACCTTTTCTTAGCAAGAGCTCCAAACAACTGGTTGAATGAAGAAATCGGTGGTTTGGGTTACATATGAGTCATTAAACAAAAGAAATAGCATGCTTCGTCAAGAGAAATAATACCTTTTTTACAATGTTTTTGAAGGAATTTATCAAGCCTCCTTACCCCTTCAATGTTATGTACTGAATCTTTTGGTATAGTTGCAGTCACTTTACATGAATTTGTCAATAAAGATGAGATTTTGGTTTTAGTAACCCTTTCAGAAGAAGAATAACAACGACGAAGAAAGGTTTTGGAGGCCATTTGAGTAGCAGCGTTTGTGGATTATCTAGGGTTCAAACTGGCTTAGTCTTTTGTGGATTTACATTTAAATAATACAATCTCACCCGAAATGAAAGTTTGCAAGTATTTATCTGAAACCTATCACTTCATCTCATTGTATCTTTAATGTAATGACAAGTGTTCTTCTTTACTCTTCATCTTATTTTTAAACCATATTTGCTATATTATATTACAACATTGCCATTTTCTCTCTTTTCTTTATGCTATTTGTGTTAGGAAACGATCCATATACGCAGCAGAAAACAAAAATCATAATGCAAGGATCATTCCAAAGAGCTAGGATCAGAGGTATAATTTTATAGTTTATATTATAGTAGAAATCTGCAGAAAATTAATCTAGAATTTAAGAAACCATATGCACGTTTGGAGGCTCCTCCAAGTTTGTCTCTAAACATGTTTTGCTACTGACCCAAGTGTAAGATCGAATCGACATAGTCCACACAAAGACAATCGTAAGGAATTAAGGAGGGATTTGCTAGATCCTCCTTAGCCTTAAGAATCAAGATGAAATGAAGAGTGTTTGATTTTAGGCAAAAATCAATTCTGGCGTGAGAGAGTTTAGGGGCTGTAGCTTTTTCCTTTTCAATGAAATGAAAATAATGAATGACTTATTTACTTTCAATTAACACTTTTCTTTTATAGTGATGTTTTTAATTGCCCTATTCCCATATAGAATAGGCTTGGGCTCCAACCCAAACACCCCATGTTTCCAAACACTCCCAATTAGATATTTATTTTAATTCATCATTATCTTCAATTAAAATCAATTAATATATATTTAATATATATATATTAACATTTAACAATAATGATAATTTATTTAAATAAATGCTAACACATATTTAGATGTAATTTCACTTATTTAATTTTTCTAACAAATTAAATAAAGCTACGACCTCAGCAAATTTAATTGCACTGTGAAATTACCAAAATACCCTTTTGCCTAAAAAGATGAAAACACCCTTCTTACTTCCTGAGTCTTAAATTATCTTCTATGTGTGTGACCCATAGGCTCCTCATCATACTGGCAGTGTATAGTATCACGATTAACACCAATTAATCATCTCACTTATACATAGACCAAGATTGGCCCCTAGCAAGGCATTATGGCCACCCGATAGATTCGGATTCGACAAAGTAGCTACCTGTAAACGATATGGTTACCATACAATTTGATCCTTTCATTATACGTTATCTCGACGAGACAAAGGCATAGAAATAGTGTCAACCTTTGGTTACTCTCGATATTAGGTATTCAGTTTCTGGACCAATGACCTGTATTATAAACTGGATAGAGCAACTGTAATGACTTCTTTCTACTAGTATATTTTAGAACATATATAATAAAAACATACATACTTAGCATATGAAAAATAGTTGGGCTCAAATTTTCTTTACTTATAAAATACAATTCTTTACATATACCAAAATAACAAGTACAAAAACTTTAGCAACGGTGGACAGTAATGCCAATTCTCTCTGCTTGTCGACTTACTCCCGACCGCACCTATTTCCTGCAAAACATGGAAAAAACAACGGGGTGAGCACAAAAATGCTCAGTAAGTAAATCCCTTATCTCTTCTCCTTCTTTGGTTCTTTCCTTAATTCTCTTCTTCTTTCTTTTGTTCCTAGTTCTTTCTCTTTTCTTTCTCTGTTTCTAATTCTTACTGTTTTTTCTTTCTTCCTAATTCTCGCTGTTCTTTCCTTCTCTCTGTTCTTTCTTTCTATTCTTTCTATTCTTTCTATTCTTTCTATTCTTTCTAACCATGATGGAATTCATGGTAATATACATGAATGATATGCATATGCAATAATGCATAAAAATGCATCTTTCTTTCTTCTTTCTATTTCTTATTCTATTTCTTTTCTTTTCTTTCTATTCTTTTCATTTCTTTCTTGTCTTACTTGCTCAAGCTTCTCTTTTCTTTCTTGTTCTTGTTCTTGTTCTTTCTTATTCCTTCTTTTCTTATTCTTATTCTTTCTCTTCTTATTCTTATTCTTTCTTCTCTTATTCTTGTTCTTTCTTATTCTTGTTCTTTCTTATTCTTTCTTTTTTTATTCTTATTCTTTGCTGATCAGACTCGGCTGATGCATGGATTCAGAACCTTGGCCGTGTGAGTGAGTATAGTCCTCATCTACATGCACTCTTGCGGACTGTACAAATTCTTTCTTTCTTCTTAGGCCACTCAATTAAGGTGGCATGCATGTAGGAATTCTTCTTGGTACAACCCTCATCCACATACACTCTTATGGGTCATACAATTCTTCTTCTTCTTATGCCACTCAATTAAGGTGGTGTGTATATGGGAATTTCTTCTTAGCACTCACAGTTCCCCATGACAACAACCTATTCTTTTCTCTTCTTTAACATTTTTTCTTTCTTTAATTCTTTAGTGCTTTTTCCTTCTTTCTCTTTAGTCTTAGAGTGTTTTATTCTTAAAATTCTTTATTCTTTCTTAAGTACTACGTATATACAAATATATGCATATGATGGCTCATGCTTAGAATTCTTACTTAATTGCACTCATGAAATGCAAATATGCAATGTTGCATAAAATTAAGGTTTCTACTCATACTCATTCTTCTCTTAGTTTTTTCATCAAATAATAAATGTGTATATACAAACTCTACTTTAACTATAATTCTATTTGTTTCTTAAACCATCCAAAATGAGAGTAAAACTCTCTTGTATCATCACAATCCCTATCACGGCAAAACACTCCCAAAACTTTCTTAAACTCTTCCAATTTCAACCAAACTTCAATCTATCATCATACAATCAAAAACACTTCTCATACTCCAATATATCCAACAATAAACATAAATAATCACCAATCTCATCTCAATTTCCCAACAATCATAACATCATGCTTAAAGAAATCTCTACTCAATTGATTTCTTAAACTTTAACTTTAATTGGATTTTGAGTTGGATTTACTTACCTTATACTTGAGTAGTCTCCACTAAAGCTCTCTATTCTTGTTGGACTCAAATTTCCCCTTAACCCTAAGCATAAACTTAATGAGAATTCAACTTCTACACAAGTAAATCTTATATAGATAGAGCAAGAATTCTTACCTCTTGTTGCCTAGAACCAAAACCTTGTCAAAATCCACTCAAAAGCCTTAAAAATTCCTTGGAAAATTGAGTGAAAAGTTGAGAGAAAATGGAGAAGGAAAGTGGCGGTGGAAGAAGAGAAATAAGGGGGTTGTAAGACTAAACCCTTAATATCTTATTTTACAAACATACTTTCCCATTTTGCCCTTACACTTTCTTAGAAATTCCGTCTTTGTCCCTTAGTCAATTACCATAATGCCCTCATTTTTATTGCATTCTCCATGAAATTCTATCTCTTTTCACTCCCCACAATTTCAACTAATTTTGAGTGAAAAGACCATTTTACCCTTAATACAAGTTTAAGGCATTTTCTTCACATTCTCTCAAAATAACTTTAACCAAAATCAACTAAGGACTATAAAAACATAAATTAAATTATATACCTCGGTGTGGGCGTTACAATTCTCCCCCTCTTATAAGAATTTTGTCCTCGAAATTCAAACAAACAACTCTGGGTAACTGTTCTGTATATCCTGCTCCACCTCCCATGTAGCTTCTTCAACTTTATGATTTCTCCAAAGGACTTTCACTAAAGGGATACTCTTGTTCCGGAGCTCTTTAATCTTTCTGTCCAAAATTTGCACTGGATGCTCCTCATACACAAGATTCTCTTCCAAGTCTACATCCTCTATGCTTAGAATATGGGAGGAATCATTTATATACCTACGAAGCATCGAGATTTGAAATACATTGTGAACTTTGTCCATACTGGGTGGTAGTGCTAATCTGTAGGCCACCTTTCCTACTCGCTATAACACCTCAAATGGACCAATGAATCTCGGTGCTAACTTTCCTTTATTACCAAAACGCATCACCTATTTGTAGGGGGAAACTTTCAGAAAAACTTTGTCCCCCACTTCAAACTCAACTTCTTTTCTTTTCAGATCAGCATAGCTTTTCTCCCTATCTTGGGCTTGTTTCATTATGCTTCTGATCAGTTTCACATCTTCTATCATTTGCTAAGTCATTTCTGGCCCAAGAGCTATATTTAACTCATCTTTGTCGCCCATCTCATCCCAATGCAGTAGAGATCTACACCGTCTACCATACAAGGCCTCGTAAGGAGCCATCTTAATTGTAGACTGGTAGCTATTATTATAAGCAAACTCCACCAAGGGTAACATCTCATGCCAGGATACTTTATAATCCATACAACATGCTCTCAATATGTCTTCAAGCACTTGATTTGTTCTCTCCGTTTGGCCATCTGTCTGAGGATGATAGATAGTACTAAAAGCCAACTTGGTACCCAAGTTCCTTTGTAAACTCATCCAGAAAGCTGAGACAAATCTGGAATCTCTGTCCGATGCTATTGTCTTGGGTACACCATGAAGTCTTACTATCTCTTTAATATACATCTAGGCCAATTGATCCAAAGTGGTACTCTCCTTTACTGGAAGAAAATGGTCTGATTTAGTCAATTTGTCTACAATCACCCATATAGCATTGTATCCTTTCTACACTCTAGGGAGACCTGTAATAAAATCCATCGAGATACTCTCCCATTTCCATTCAGGAATACTAAGTGGCTGAAGCAACCCTGATGGCCTCTAGTGTTCTGCTTTCACTTGCTGACAAATCAGGCATTTAGCTACAAACTCTGCAATATTTTTCTTCATACCTGGCCACCAATAGCCTTTCTTTAAATCTTGATACATCTTGGTTGCTCCAGGATGAGCACTGTACGGTGTGTCATGAGCCTTTATAAGGATTTTCTTTCTCAACTCATCATCCTGAGGAATACACAACTGACTCCTAAAACGGAGGACATCATCCAACAACTGAAACTCTGATGTCTTGCCCTCATGCACCTGTTGAACTAGTTTCTGACACCACTAATCGGTTAGTTGCTTTTCTTTAATTTCTTCCAGTAAGGTAGACTGGACCTCTAACCTGGCAATCCTTCCTGGTATGACCTCAATCTGCTCTTTACACAACTCTTCTATTAACTCTTTCTTTCTTATGAGTCGGGACAAATAAGCTTTTCTGCTCAAAGCATCGGCTATTACATTAGCTTTCCCTGGTTGATACTTAATCTCACACTCATAATCTTTAACCAGCTCTAGCCATCTTCTCTGTCTCATATTCAACTCCTTCTAAGTAAATAAATACTTTAAACTCTTATGGTGGGTGTAGATATTACTCTTGGCACCATAAAGGTAATGCCTCCAAATCTTCAAGGCAAAAACTATTGCTGCCAATTCTAAATCATGTGTAGGGTATCTTGTTTTGTACTCTTTCAATGGACGAGAAACATAAGCTATAACCCTACCTAACTGCATCAATACGGCACCAAGTCCCTGCAGTGAGGCATCTGTATAAATGTCATAATCTACACCCTCTTGTGGTAACACTAACACGGGAGCTGTCGTTAATCTTCTCTTCAACTCTTGAAAACTCTCTTCATAGGCAACTGACCATATAAAAGGAACTCTCTGTTTGGTAAGAGTTGTCAATGGCTTTGCCAACTGGGCAAACCCTGCCACAAACCGGCGGTAGTAACCAGCTATTCCCAAGAAACTCCTCACTTCTTTTTCTGTCTTCTGTCTTCGGCCTTTGCCATTCTAGGATTGCCTTTACTTTACTAGGATCCACTGAAATCCCTTCGCTAGAAACAGTATGGCCCAGAAATATCACCTGATCAAGCAAGAACTCACATTTAGAAAACTTGGCATACAACTTCTTTTCTCTTAGTCGCTGCAGCATAAATTTTAAGTGTGCCTCATGCTCTTCTCTCGACTTCGAATAAACCAGGATGTCATCAATAAATATCACTATAAACTGATCCAGACAATCATGGAACACCCAGTTCATTAAGTCCATAAAGACTGATGGGGCATTAGTTAACCCAAAAGGCATCACCACAAATTCATAATGCCCATATCTTGTCCGAAAGGCAATCGTAGCTACATCTTGTTCTGCCACTTTTACCTAATGATAACTTGACCTCAAATCAATCTTGGAAAATACTGCTGTACCATTTAGCTGATCAAAAAGATCATTTATCTGAGGTAACGGGTATTTATTCTTCACTGTCACTTTATTCAACTCTCTGTAATCAATACACATCCGTAAGGACCCATCTTTCTTCTTTACAAACAAGATTGGAGTTCCCCAGGAAGAATGACTTGGTTGGATAAAACCTTTATGTAGGAGCTCTTGGAGTTGCTTCTTCAATTCTTGAAGCTCGGCTGGGGCCATTCGGTAAGGGGCTTTAGATATAGGTGTTGTTCCTGGTGCCAGTTCAATACTAAACTCAACTTCTCTTTTCGGAGGCAAACCCGGTAAGTCTTCCGAAAATGCATCTGAAAATTTTCGGACTAGTGGCACACGCTGCAATTCTGGTTGTAGGACATCTCTACATTGCACCGCTATATACCCAGAACACCCTTTTCTTAGCATCTTTCTAGCCTTCATGCTACTAATCAACATACTCAATTGATGGCCTTCTCCGAAACTAAACTTATCTCCACTATCAAGATTAAATCTTGCTTTCTTCTTTCGACAATCAATTTCTACTCCATACCTCCCTAGGAAATCCATACCCAAAATTACATCAAAGTCAGGCATATCAAACACTATTAAATCAGCTACTAACTCCCGACCATGGATCACCACGGACTCTCCTGACAACATCTCATGGGTCACAACACTAACCCCATCAGGTAACTCTATCTTAATGGGTCAACTCACTCTAGTAGGTTTCAAAGCTAATCTTTCTATCATCCCATAAGATATAAATGAATGAGTGGCTCCAGAATCAATTAAAACATAAAGAGGAACTGCATGAAATAATAACTAACCAGTAACAGCTGATGGGTTAGCCTCTACTTAACCTTGTGCTACTGTAAACACCCTGGCATTAGTGCCTCTGGAATTATGTGCTATAGATGGAAGAGGAGATTTACAACCTTTCATCAGATGCCCTGGCTGCTGGCATCGATAACATACATTACGGCCTAACTCTCTCAGACACTCTCCTGGATGAGTCTTCCCACATTTAGGACATGGGGGAAACTCCACTGTTTTCGACAGTTTATTTTGCCAATCTTTTATGTTCTTCTTTGGCTGAAACTTCTTCTTATTCTTCACTTCTCTATTTCTTGCACTCTCAAATCTTTCTCTCTGTGGAGCGGGAAAGGGTTCACTTGGTCCTGCTGGGGTGAGCTTGTTTACAAAAATTTATGCCCTTAAAGCCCGCTCTAAAGCTTCACTATAGGTTTGAGGGGGCTCAGCTCCTGTCATTATATCCTGGGCTATCTCTGGCTTCAAACCATGGACAAACTTATCTCTTCTCAATTCTGCGGTACTGACTATTCCGGGCCTGGCAAGGGAATTAAACCTCATAGAATACTCTTTCACTTCATTGTACTCGGCCCTTGCTTCAAATTAATAAACTCTTGTATCTTCTCATGTACCCGATCCACTGTTCTGTACTCAGCATCAAACAATCTTCTAAACTCACCCCAGGTCATCACAGGAACATCATGAGTGTCTTCCATCAATTCCCACCAAATTCGGGCATCCCCCCGAAACAAGAAATTGGCATACCGGATATTCTCCCTGTCCGTCATAGTAAATAGTGCCATCGTACGCTCAACGGACCTAAACCATTTTTCTACCACTAAAGGGTTTGTTGTACCTTTAAATTCTGACGGCTAATGTTGACTTGGAAGCCCACAAATTGGTTCAATCCGATTCTGTATTGTCTGAGGTACTGACCTTTCTCTTTCTCCTCTAGGAGGCGGTATTTGAACAGGGGTTTCAACTCTTTCTGGTTCAACTCTCCCCTGTCTTTCTACTAAGACGTGCTGTACAATTCCCTGTATTCTAGCTTCATCAAGGGTAGAGAGAGTAGGTTCTGATGGGTTAGAAGGTTCCCCCGTACTCACTGTTTTCTTACTACTTGCTCAGGTTCTACGTCTCATCTACAAAACAACCCCCTTTAATCAACTCATGAAACACTTTAAGTAAGGAAAGAAAATTTAACTTACAACGGCTGGCTATGGAACGTCGCGGTGGTGAGAGTGGCACACTGTCAAATTCCAAAATCTTTGCTCTAATACCAAAAATGTAATGACTTCTTTCTACTAGTATACTTTAGAACATATACAATAAAAACATACATACTTAGCATATGAAAAATAGTTGGGCCCAAATTTTCTTTACTTATAAAATACAATTCTTTATATGTACCAAAATAACAAGTACAGAAACTTTAGCAACGGTGGACAGTAATGCCAATTCTCTCCGCTTGTCAACTTCCTTCCGATCGTTGCTCACCTATTTCCTATAAAACATGGAAAAAACAATGGGGTGAGCACAAAAATGCTCAGTAAGTAAATCCCTTATCTCTTCTCCTTATTTGGTTCTTCCCTTACTTAATTCTCTTCTTCTTTCTTTCGTTCCTAGTTCTTTCTCTTTTCTTTCTTTGTTTCTAATTCTTACTGTTCTTTCTTTCTTCCTAATTCTCGCTATTCTTTCCTTCTCTCTGTTCTTTTTTCTATTCTTTCTAACCATGATGGAATTCATGGTAATATACATGAATGATATGCAAATGCAATAATGCATAAAAATGCATTTTTCTTTATTCTTTCTATTTCTTATTCTATTTCTTTTCTTTTCTTTTCTTTCTTGTCATGCTTGCTCAAGCTTCACTTTTCTTTCTTGTTCTTGTTCTTTCTTATTCCTTCTTTTCTTATTCTTATTCTTTCTTTTCTTGTTCTTATTCTTTGTCGATCAGACTCAGTTGATGCATGGATTCGGAACCTTGGCCGTGTGAGTGAGTACAGTCCTCATCTACATGCACTCTTGTAGACTGTACAAATTCTTTCCTTCTTCTTAGGCCACTCAATTAAGGTGGCGTGCATGTAGGAATTCTTCTTGGTACAACCCTCACCCACATGCACTCTTACGGGTCATACAATTCTTCTTCTTCTTATGCCACTCAATGAAGGTGGCGTGTATGTAGGAATTTCTTCTTAGCACTCACGGTTCCCCATCACAACAACCTATTCTTTTCTCTTCTTTAACATTTTTCTTTCTTTAATTCTTTAGTGCTTTTTCCTTCTTTATCTTTATTCTTAGAGTGTTTTATTCTTAAAATTCTTTATTCTTTCTTAAGTACTACATATATACAAATATATGCATATGGATGGCTCATGCTTAGAATTCTTACTTAAATGCACTCATGAAATGCAAATATGCAATGTTGCATAAAATTAAGGTTTCTACTCATACTCATGCTTCTCTTAGGCATTTCATCAAACAATAAATGTGCATATACAAACTCTACTTTAACTATAATTCTATTTGTTTCTTAAACCATCCAAAATGAGAGTAAAACTCTCTTGTATCATCACAATCCCTATCACGGCAAAACACTCCCAAAACTTTCTTAAACTCTTCCAATTTCAACCAAACTTCAATCTATCATCATACAATCAAAAACACTTCTCATACTCCAATATATCCAACAATAAACATAAATAATCACCAATCTCATCTCAATTTCCCAACAATCATAACATCATGCTTAAAGAAATCTCTACTCAATTGATTTCTTAAACTTTAACTTTAATTGGATTTTGAGTTGGATTTACTTACCTTATACTTGAGTAGTCTCCACTAAAGCTCTCTACTCTTGTTGGACTCAAATTTCCCCTTAACCTTAAGCATAAACTTAATAAGAATTCAACTTCTACACAAGTAAATCTTATATAGATAGAGCAAGAATTCTTACCTCTTGTTGCCTAGAACCAAAACCTTGTCAAAATCTACTCAAAAGCCCTAAAAAATCCTTGGAAAATTGAGTGAAAAGTTGAGAGAAAATGGAGAAGGAAAGTGGCAGTGGAAGAAGAGAAATAAGGGGGTTTGTAAGACTAAACCCTTAATATCTTATTTTACAAACATACTTTCCCATTTTGCCGTTACACTTTCTTGGAAATTTCATCTTTGTCCCTGAGTCAATTACCATAATGCCCTCATTTTTATTATATTCTCCAAGGAATTCTATGTCTTTTCACTCCCCACAATTTCAACTAATTTTGAGTGAAAAGACCATTTTACCCTTAATACAAATTTAAGGCATTTTCTTCACATTCTCTCAAAATAAATTTAACCAAAATCAACTAAGTGCTATAAAAACATAAATTAAATTACATACCTCCGTGTGGGTGTTATAGCAACAACTCAATCCCACTGTGGCAACAGTTTTAGTGTTATTGACATATACTGAATTGCGCCGTGAGATAACTTCTCCCGTACCCGGGAGTGATGAATCCTCTGTCTATTTACCATCGTCTTGATACACTCCTTGATGCAGCCAATCACCACTGTATTGATAGCTTTGAAAAGAACTGCGTTAGGCTAGTGTCAAACTGTACCAATCGGTACACAAGGCGCTCTGGTGATCTCAAGTCTAAGGATCACATGCACCACCATTCTTCAGAGGATTTATTCCATAGACATTGGGGTTACCATCCATATGGAATCCCCTAGTGGGTCAGTCCAGTGAACTTGCTATAGTGTATTCGCCTACAACAAGCACCGATGTGTTGCACCAGGTTGTCACCAAAACAACCTTGACAAGTGAGATTAGTCACTGCCTTTTGACAGGGTCGTTCAACACTATGATAGCTTACCGTATTATCTGTGCCCTTACTTCAAAATAATACTAGGGCTACAGATGTTTCTAGAATGGCCACCATATGTGCTCATAGGGTTCTCACTATCAAGATTTGAAACACTTGATACCATCGTCATGGTTCTACCATTCTAAGGACATATATCAATACATATTGCAATAATAATGATTTACGCGATATAGAATAAAATTCCTTTTATTATTGATTAATGAAAATTATTACAAAGAGTCAATTCTACAATAATTGATTGGCTCTAGGGCATCTACTCTAACAATTTGCTCATGTTTTCAACATACATTATTTGTTTTTAGTTTTCAATTTTTATTATTTATTAATTGTATATTTGGTTTCTTCGGATGTATAAACTGTCAATCAAGAAAAAAGTTAAATAAAATGTATTGATGATTGTATGTACAATCAATTATGAATAAATTTTGTTTTCTTTCGATTGGTTTATTGTATGTACAATTGAATTTACAAAGTTTTTCTTCTTCTCCTGGTTTACCCCTATATATCTATGACACAGTCTGATTCATAAAGTTGTAAACTAGCACCCGAGCTTTGACATGACATCTTTTGATTAGTCAATTGTTTATACAACCATTATAAGGTAGAGTAATGCTACGCCAATAACCTTTTTCTTACAAACTTCTCTTACAACCTAATTAGGTGGCAGCTGAGTTAGTGTTGTTACGTCAAAATAACTTTAACTAGACCAAAGAAGCGGTTGTTCCTTCATAAGTAACAACCGTTCTTTATGGATTGTTCCTCACGGAAGGAATGGCCGTTCCTTATAAAAGAACAACTAAATCAATGGTCTTTCATAAATAAGGAACAATCATTTGTAACTAAATTTACATTTTACACACTTATTTTGTTTCAAGTTGATACACATATGGTAGCGTGCCGAATGCACCAAATTAATTAACCTTACTAACCTAACTACTAAATTATATATAAGGTGAGCAAGGGTCGATCACACAGGGAATGATTCGATTAAATCCTATATTCTATGCCAATAGCCACAATAAAAACAATAGAAAAACACAATAAAACCCTAAACAGTAAACAGGACAACAGAGTAATGAAAGGGGGTGTGATCAATGCAATCTAAACTGAAAACAAATAATGGTAGAAAATATCAAATGAAAACACCAGTTCTCGGTTCAAGATCCACCTAAACATGCATTGGATATACTAACTGTAACATTATTCTGTCTCGTTATTATGGAACTACTGACCCTAGGAAACAACAAGCTGTGTTACCCAAATTTTCCCTTAATTGTCACTACTGAAATAAGCTCTTCAAGTAGATTCTAACCCTTGAACAACCTAGAATAAGCTCTCTAAGTTTAATTCGATGGAAGCCTTAAGAAATAGGAAAATAGATCAATCTAAGCAACAATCACACAAGCTCGGATTATTTAACTTAGGCTATGCTATTCAAGATGGCAGAATGAAAACTTGTCCATTATCATCTATCATCATGTGTTACTCATTGAATAGAAAAAGGACAATTATGGATCACAATTCCTAATTCTAACAGATAAAATTCCGATTAAACAACTCAGCAGGCCATTACTAAATCACTCAAACAGAAAATTATAAACAATTAAAACAGAATAACATAAACAATTCCAATAAAAACGAGATTGAGAATAATGTTACTGAAGTTAAGTTACACTAATGACATGAATTCAGGCTTCAAAATCCCCTTAAACTGAAGAAGAAAGATCAGCCTCACATCTTGACGTAGAAAGTAAAAGAAAACCGAAAAAACTAAAAACTACTGCTATCTCTTCTCCCCCCTTTTTAACCTAACAACTCATCAATAAATAACATATGTTTTCCTTAATTCTACCCCAAGAATCACGGAATTTCTTTCCTAGACGTTTCCTAGAAGATAGACTTCCAGNAAAAACAATTAATAATAATGTAAAAAA